AAAAAAATATAGGTCACATCGACGGATTCCTGATAATATAATAAATGTATAATATAAATCACATGATCATATATTAATCAATAAAATTCATTTCACGTGATTTGATTATAATTTGAAAAATTTGGCCGCTAAATAAAAAAGTGGTGGCTTGGCTTTAGACCGTTTGCACCAATAGTTATATTAACAAATTGCTATATGATAGCATTTTATTATCCGTCAATGTTTAACAATTTAAATAATCTTTGTTTTCCAAATCAGGTAAATTATGTGTTACATTTTTATTTGTTATATTTTTTAAAAACAATTAATTTCTCCAATATAAGCCAATCGGAAATTTGTGATTATGAAGAGGTCGAATTACTAACAAAAAATGTATGTGCGTTATGAGTTTAATGTGATAGTGATTATAGCCTATTTGTGACTACATAAAAGTAATTTAATAATATTAATAATATTAAAATCCGTTCGATAAAATAGGTGCTTATAAGAAGGTGTGACTGTATGGAAGTCTGACTGTACTTTTGCTGTCGAAAGAAATTGTGTTAACTACTTTAACGATCAAACGATTATTTTAAGACGTACCTGCCTTTCATTCAAAAAAAAAAAATTATGAATAAGTAACGGAAGTAATATGGTTTGATTTTTAGGGAAATCAGGTTTTTGGGATTATGGAGAACTAAAGAAGCAGAAAATTTCGTATTCATCCTGTCATTTAAGGAATCCATGAGAATATGATCCTCACTTTTTGAAAATATAAAATAAAATAACTACATAATTCATATATTTTAACTGTTGCATATATGTGTCGCTTAAAGATTTCTAATTGCAAACTATCTTGAGAATTAGCAAAACATTATAAAAAAACTATATATTCCGGTAGCTTATCATGTAACTTTCTTCTTTGTCATAAATAATTATTGAGCGCTATAATAATTTATTATTCAGAGTTGTAAATATATATGGTTCAACATTCTGGAAATTTAGAAGAATTAAGGATCTTCTCCTTACTATTTAAGTAAGTGATGCATTCAAAGGAATTTTAACTGAATATATAGTGTTAAAGAAATTTTGCAAAAAAAATCGTAAAGAAACAAATAACAATAAACACCCACGTTGAACTGCACAAATTTCAAGTCATTTAACCGAAATAATAACCGTAAACAGGTTAATTAGTCTATACCTAAGTGCTTAGGAATTACCCGAAATAGTAAATTATTTTGTTAAAGTCGTGACCTAATTTGGTTGACTGTGAAAGTTCTAGTGGATTGTTGAAAGGTAATAATACAAATAGAAAAATACGAAGTATCCTTTGGTAGCGTAGTATTGAAAAAAGAGATAAATCTTATTGATTTGATATTTTGAAAAATTAATCATATCAATTTATTTATCTTTTTAAAAAATGTTTTATCAGTAAATAAAATAAATAACACATTGATTTTCACACAAACTTAAACATCAATACTATAAAGCATTAGAAAAGCAAAAGACTATTATAATTGCTTGTAGTCACGATACAAAATAATTTTTATCAAGATCCTGTAAAATAAATTTTTATTTCAACATTGATTTTATTAAATGGAAAAGACAAATAAATTGGAGGAAAAAAAAAAATTTCCGAAAGTTCAGTTCATTTGAACAAATATTTGAACGAATATTAAATTTCGCATGATTTCAAACTCTAATGAAAATAAATTATCATCTACTTGATTCATTCTTGTTAAAGTTTTATTCCATGAAAATAATTTTTTATTGTTAGCTTCGATAACTCGTTAATAAATTCTATACGGATTTAAAGTAAATTTTCTCAAATATTCAAATTGGTTGAAAAAGTTCATAAATTGAAAAATTGACAAATTAATTAATACATTAGCTTGAATTACGTTCGATTATAACCGTTTCCACGCTATTATATAATAAATTGAAACGGTTTCTGCTCTGCGTATTACGTGGAATATTTATAACTTCAAGATTCAAAGTATGACTTTAATTATATTACGTTTTATGTATAAATGCATAAACTTTAAACCTTAATTTCCATAATAAAAACAACAAAAAATAATAAGAATGTTCATGGCTTCAATTTTTGTTCATGTAAATTTTCATAGCTTTAGCATATTTATAAAAATTAGGGATTTCGTTTCTGTGAATTTATTAAAAAATTTTTTTTTGAAATGAAATGGATAGATAGAAATACTTACAAGTGACCCTTATAACCAATCTTTTATAGAAATGTTAATTTGGTCGAATTGAACGAACGTAGTAAATCATATGATCCGTAACATGATTTTAATAGCATATGTCATATATATGATTATAGCATTTAATTTAATACATCAGGTAATTATTAAGAAACCATTTTTGAAATAGGTAAAAGATCCTAAGACAAAAATTTATATTAAATTAATTAAAATAAATACACCGCCAAAGGGTGCGATCGATCCTAAATTTAATTAATTAAAAAGAAGAGAACGATCCTAAATAAAAATGAACCCACTGAATAATCCTTAAGTCTTACCTTATAATTCAATAAATGAAGAATCAATCCTTAAACGTTAAAAAAAAAAAAAAAAAAAAAAAAGTCCAAACTATCCACAATTTACTTTCAAGAGCTGGTCTAAGTAAATTTTATGATGCAATGATCCAAGAAAACAGCTTTTATAAAGCAAGTTATTAGAAATATTCATTTTAAAGAGAGACTCCATCCCACACAAAGTACCTCTCAAGAGCTGATTCAAGAGAAAATTTAAGATATAAAGGTATTATTACAAAAAAAAGAAATGTTTGGAACTTCACCTAATACTTATCTCAAAGATCCATTTCAAAAATTCAGAAGACCAAGGCTATTCATGCAAAAATAAAAAATAAAAAATAGAAATAGAAAAAAGAAAAATGGATTGGTTATATAATATTACATAATCAATCTAAGTAAAAAAAAATTGGTTAAAAACGGAATTTCGAATGAGCTTGATTTTATTTGTAAGGAAGTTTTAACGTAATGATAACAACACGGGATTGATAAGAATTTCATATTTTACAAAAATGACATTGTAAGAGGCCATACCTTACTATATTAGGTTATTAATGAGCCCCCATATTAAAGAATCCCCGAAAAAAGTTAAATTCAATCACAGTTTTTTTTTTTATAATTCTCTTTTCCCCTTAAGAAAAAAAAATATATGGATATTCTCAGTGAATTTCATTCGTAGTCGAAATAATTGTCGTTTTTTTTTTTTGCAAAAAGAAAAGAAAATTGGGCCCTACTTGGAAGATTACTATAATGACGAAAATTTTTATAAAAAAATAATTTCAAAAAAAATGCTGTAATTTTTTAGTTTATTTTTACCTTCCATTTTATTTAATCTACATATATTTCTTATTTTAACTTTACTAGTATCTTTACTTTCCTTCACATATAAAGAAAGAGTAGATTATTGATGTAGCAATGATAAACTCTTTCCCTTACGAGATAAACGTGGTGCAATAAAAGATTTTCTTCCAAAGAATGGAGGATGCGAGATGCTTTAATACTTAGAGGAAGCGATAAAGAAATGCAAGCTAGTCTTGAAACATTTATATCAGAAAGAGAGAGAGTGGAGAGTGAGAGGAATAAAGATAGGAAGAGAGAGTGTGAGAGAGTGTGATAGGAGAGGAGAGAGCAAAATCATGTCATTTTTAGGTGAAGGATTTCAAATCTTTGTCATCTGTCAGGTTTAATAATACATTATTTTTTTTTTGCTTAAGTACAAACGAGTTCCAAATTATAAACCAAGGATGCCGATGGTATGTAGCAATTAACCCAAATACTTTCTTATATTACTCTTCTGTGTAACCAAATCCTTTGGTCACCTCTTATAGTTCCAAGTGATGTATCAACAAGATCCGAATTTAATGACAATGTCATGTGAAGAAACAAATATGTTACGATCATTTCAAGAATGACAATATACATAGTGCAATAACATATATAAGATTATTGAAGATTTGACCGTACTCACGAGACACCGACATCATTGAATTGCTAAATACGTAAAAATGGACATGAAACAAGTTTCAGCAGTTATCTTGGTTGTTGACAGCTTGCTGACACAAAAAAGACTCTCCGTTTTATCAGACTTTAACAAAAATCATAATCTTGCACTGAGTAATGATGGTCTTTGATCTCGTGTTGCACTGCAACAATAACTTATCCAATTGAAAATACCCTGAAAGAAACGGGTTGACCGCGTGTAATTCTACCTGTTATTTTTCTGCAACCCTCAAACTTCTTATATCAGCTATATATTTATCTGTGTAATGAATTTGAGTACGTTCTTTATGAATGATATTTCAGGATGTATAGAGTTACCATTGTAACGTTCGTTCTTTCTGAAGAATTTAATGCCTAAAAGTAAATTGATAGATTCTTTTGATAATCTTGCGGAAGCGATCGAAAAGTGGGAGGTAGGAGATTTTTACAGAAAATTCCCACATATCAATTTACGTGATAGAGAAATTCTTATCCAATAATTGTTATATTGCTCAAATGTCACTAATGCTGACATTGCAATATCACCAAATATTATTAACTGATAATAAAAATATGGGACCTTTGCAATAGAAAGGGGGAATCGGCTAAAAATGAGTAAATGTTAAATCTGTAAAATTGATTTTTTCCGGTAGTTTCCCCTTCCTATTGCAAAGGTCCCAAATCAATTTCGCATAGCTCACATAATATAATTTTAACATAAAAGCTTATGGATAAAAAAAAATATATATATATATAAATAGTAAATAAATAAATTGGATCAAATAATTCTAGAATTCTAGAATTCTTTTAAGTCATTCATAAAAAATATTCTTAAAACAATAAAACATAAAAGTAACGTATAATTATGAATCAATTACTTCGATTATTATTAAAATGGGAAACTTTACATGATAAATGTTAAAAAGATGATAATTTCATAAGTTCATAGTAATAACTTCAAACGAGACCGTCACCCCAATGACGAATACAAAGTTCATTCGCTTGCTTTTCTCCGCTTGATAGAATTAGAACGAATAGAGTAATTAGGTTTTTGGTCAAAACCCAACATTTCGATACGTAAATTATTCTTGATCCTTTTAGAACCTTTCGACAACTTTGGCTCGACCTGAACTTTAGTTGGAATCTTTTTAACTGGTTTGGTTTTGCGAATGGATGATCTACTTTTGACTTCCCTCTTATTTTCGTTATCCTTCTTTTCATTATGCCGCTTATTGACGGTTGCCGGAGGCACATCTTCGAAATCGAAGCTCATATCGAAGATAGGAGGTTCAACTTCTTGAGTATTGCCAGTTTTTTTATTCTCTCGTATTAACTTGTCGTATTGATATAATCTGCAAAAAAATAATTCGAGAGAGTTCATTGTAACGTTGGATCCGTCGAATAGGAAAGGTATCCTATAAGATATGAGATTGCTTGCGTTGCGTAGAAGAAGTGATCTGTTATCAAAAATCAATAAATAAATACCTTATTTATTTAATGATTTTTTAAGAATAAGAAAAAACAGTGGCGCTAAACAATTTGTTTTGGGTTCTGATGAAAAAAAAAAAAAAAAATCTTTTTATTAATAAAACATTATTGTTGTTACGCCGTTCCTATTCAAGACGGAAATATAAAAATAGTTGATCACGGTAAAACTCTTATGCCGAAGTCATTTTCAAAACAATAAAAATTTAATAATCAATCAAGGAGTGATTGATCTATATTTAAATTCCTGCATTATTTAATTTTTATCATTATTAAGAAAATAATCGAAAATTTGTACGTAAAAAAAAGTGATTTACAAGAAAGCAGGTTGTAATGTTCAACCCTAAATTCCTCGTGAAAAATAAAGTTTCGAGTTGATGAAAAAACTGTTTACGGTTGATAATTCATTATAAATAGGGTTCAACTGGTTTAAATACTTTTTTATCGAATCAGCGAATTCATTTATTGACGTTAATAATGGACAAATTTTGTAATGTGGCAAAGGATGCGGCTTCGTACTACGATCATTACCATCGGTAATTTCCATTGTCATCCTAATTCTGTCAGAATCATTGGTCTAATTTTTAATAATGGTTAATTGGATATATTTCCACGTTTAAAATTGGGGATTTACATGATTTTATTCGTTTCGTTCTTTACTCACTTGTTCATGCATTCGCTAAATTTTATCTTTTTCTATCAGGATTGACCAATTCTACTCTTGATTCTGGGCATGGATATTAGACGCCGGGTCCGAAAATCATCAAAGTTGCTCATTTACATTTAGATACCTAATTTCATTACCTGGGAATTATAGGCTGCTTCTTTATTGAACGTGTAAAGTTTTTTTGTGCATAAAGGTTGCTTATATATACAAAATATGATTAATCATTTGACATTTCAGCCGATTAAGCCGTTTCCCTAGTCTAGCTATAAAGATTTTTTTTATTTGAGAGTTATGCGAAAAAAAGGAAATTTCAACATGACGTGAAATTTGAAAAATAATATATATCATTATTATTGTCCTCTGTGCAAAGCAATAAAATTCTGCATCATTTAAATAGATTGCGAGGGGCCAGAGATGCTAATTATTTCATGACCTTGATCGGAAATGCGGTAAAAAGAAAATCCAGCGACAATAAGAAATGTTAAATTTTTAAAATTTCATCTTTGGTTAACACTTGGTTCAAACTTCACACATTTTATCTTTATTAATTGCGTTTCTCAGAACTTAATTTATTTTTGGTATAAAGTGATGGGAGTGTTGTATGTAGTACAATAAATTACTTAAACGCCAAACCACCCGGGTTCTGTAAAATAAAACTAAAATGGCATGATTTAATGTCAATGCCAAGCCATTCGAATTAATCATCGAAGCCACCGATCAGCCCTAGTGTCTTTGAAATCAATCACCTGATGATTTGTTTTGCCATATTTTAAATGTTTTGGCGCAGCAAATAAATAAAATAATATGGCATCACGATGACGTTTTTTAGTGGTGGAATGTATATACTAAAACACGGATATCAAAAAACCAGTGTTGGCTTGAAAAATTCAAGTTGCATGGAACACAAATAAAATTAATGACTTCTAAATATATGCCTAATGAAATGAATTGCCTTCAAAAAACTTGGTGAATGATACCATTTCTAGGAGTCTTGAGCATTACATGTGACTACACGCAATCTCGGAATGCAAATGCTTTTGCCTGTCGTTCGAACGACCCACCTGTCGCCTCATCACGATTTAGAACGTACCACCATCATCCCGCAACTGAATCGTTTAATTAAAATTAAAATAATTTTTATTTAAATTTGTACCTCTTAAAGCACCTCTAATCGTATGCAGATCATCAATGTAAATATTTGACGGTTCGTACCAATTTTTACAAATTCCGGCGCCACAACAGGCGGTGGTTATGTTGACGAAGAATTTGTTGTTTGCGTCACCAAATACGAGTTTTTGATAGTGAACTTCCTAAAATATACATTGATTGCTCTATTTGTATAACTACTTTTACCTTCATTTCTATGGTAAATTTCAAAACGCATTGAACCTTTATTCTTTAAAAAAAAAAAATAAAATAAAAAAAAAAAAAAAACGTCGTTAAATAATCTGGATGAATTAATAATTACAATGCCTTGTCAACTTCCCGCTGACTGCCTGAATGGAATTTTTGAATATTTGGAAGATTTGGAAGATAAGGTTACCTTATACTCATGTTTGTTAGTGAATCGTCTTTGGTGTGAAGTCTCTGTCGAAATCTTATGGAAAAGTATTTGGAATTGTAGGACTTTAATTGCCTGCCTTCCTCTCGAGTCAAAAGAAATCTTGCTCAAGAACAAAATCATCATCTCACCTCCTACCTTAAACCCTCCACTATTTAATTACATCACCTTTATTAAGGTTCTTCAAATTAATAAAATTGGTGAAGAAATCAATAATGTACTTGAAGACGATCCACTTGTCCTTTCACGGGTAGTAGTGGCACAAGAGATATTTAAAATGTTTATGAACAAAATCTCCTTGAAGAAACTAAACTTTTATTCCAGTGCAAACTACATCAAATATATACCGTTTACCTCCTTCCCTGGGTCGATAGATTGTTTGAAGAATCTTGCGGAATTAAACTGCAATTCAAATATCTATTCGGAATTTTTTCATCGGCTATCCAAAATCTGTCATAATATACAATCTTTAAATATAGGATTTATAAAAGTTATCTCAAATGGTGTGACAGATTTGATTTCCGTTCAGCGAAATTTAAAGTATTTAAGCATAATCAAATCTCGTTGTGAAGATCTCGCGGATATGATTATACTTCCTTCAATAGCAAACCTTCCTAATACTTTAATCAAGCTGTCTCTTTACGGAGATGAATGTGGCATACCATTATCGTTTATTTCTCGTTTCTCAAATTTACAAGAACTTATCCTAGCCTTTGATGATTGTAATTATCTAGGTTTTGAAAAGTTGTGTGGCGTCATCTTTCCGAAATTGCATATCTTAAAATTTAAATATGGACTTCCAAAGCAAGAATGTTTGACTAAATTCTTGGAAAACAATGGTGTGAACTTGGAAAGGCTTGAGCTAAAGTATTGTAATGTCAATCATACTTTAAATTTAACTATAGTTAAATCATGTCCCAATCTGAAATCGCTGGGTACGATCTTTTCTGATAATGAATTAGGACCATTAAAAGTAATTTTGAATCGTTGTAAGAGACTGGAAAGTATCCGAGTTGAGTGTTATGATGAATGTTTGAATGAGAGAGAATTATTAGAGATGGTTGCAAAGTATTCACCAAAATGTTTTCACGAATTAAAGTTATATTATGGTTATGGAGCATATTCGGAATTATTTCCAAAAGAATTAGAGTCGTTCTTTACTAGTATGACAAATCGTATTCCACAAAAATCACTTTCGTTCATTATTATTAATGGATACAAGACAAAGAGTTTGGTGTTTAAAGAAGGAAACATGGAAGTGATTGAAAAATACATCCAATTAGGTGTTATTAGGAAATTTAAATCTACCACAAAATAGGAATTAGGTGTAAGTTTTATTCATATTTATTTTATAATTGATTTTATTAATGCCCTTCTTTTTAAATAAATAAATACAAAATACCAAGTAAACTCCTTCGCCGTTATGGATCGTTTGCTATTAAGATCTAGTCACGAGACATAGTAGCCGTATGATCGTAACGTGGTTTTAATAGCAATCCGTTCATTCGTAAGGTAAAATATCGTTTATGTGTTCGTGCTTTCTGATCATCACGATCTTGATTAGTTCGGTTCTTTTGTTATATCAAGATATGAATATTTAGAATTTTCATGAATGTAAGATACATAAATTCAATAATGAATCAAGTTAGATAAATACTATATTATACGTACAATTGTTGAGGAAAATGCTTTACAATTATCGCTTGAACAGAATTTATTTACCTTAACACTCTTAGGTTTTGCTTATTAGATTTAGCTTAGCCAGAAGAGATATATAATCTTGATTCTCGAGATCAAGATACACTACTGGTTTGATATTTATTTACAAATTACTATTTCGAGTTTTGAAAAACCCGAGAAATATAGTATCAGAGTGAGGTTCATCTCGGTTGCGCTGGCCGAATCACGACAATGTTTATTTCTTTTTTTCATCAGAAAAAAGAAAATCTCAGAATATAAATCACCATAAACTCGCTTAATATTTACGGAATTGGCTCGTCCTGTTTTGATATCAAAGTGAATTTCAGATTTAAATGTATTCATTTTAATATTCATATCTTACATGGCTTCGTTTTTGCGACCAATTCGTCTCGGAAATATACTACTTAAATATAGTGTGAAAATCGTAAATAAAATATGTCTTTCAAGGTAGTTTATCTCGTTTTTTTCTCCTGCGCGTGAATTTGAACATCGAAATAAAATTTTTGTTTGTTTGTCATTATACTAAGCTTTTTTATTTTTTTTAGTTGGAATCGAAAGAATGAGTCGTTTTGAAAAAATGTGTGGCTGATACAGATATCAAAATTTTTATTCAAAATAGGAAATTTAAAAATCAAATCTAATCCTTAGGTATTAAATTTTCTAATCCTTAGCAAGATATTTTAATTAAATTATGCATATTATTTTGTAAACATATGGGAGCTTAGCCAGTAAGATCACATTACGTAAAATATTTTTTACTTTAAATATCTTTACTGGCAACGTATTCATATATTAAAATTCAAATAGAAATGTAATTATAATTAAAATAATTAATTATTTAACTAAAAAGGTTTTTAATCTAAGTAATATATTAGTATAATGTTATGCAAAGTTATATAAGTTTATATAAATTTTTTAAAACTTTATAAGATTATACTTTATAAAGTTGCATAAGATTACATTATATAAGATTTATAAGATTTAAAATTTGTATATTTATTTA